ACGGAGTGATTTAAATGAGAGAGTATAATGTGGAGCAGCAAGTTTCTCAAAAACATATGGCAAGCCAACATTCTTAGGCAGCTATCTCATCTCAGATAACAGAGTTGTTGTCCAGAAGAGCCATCATAAACACACGCAACATGAATATGCCTCTGGACTTTCTCTTCAGCCTTCTGTTCCTTACTTTCTGAACGTCTGCAATACTAAATGCAGCGGTAAAATATAGCAATCTACTTCTGATGAACATTAAGGATTCATTAATAACCTTACAAATAAAGAAAATGTCGAAATATAAAGCAAGCTACAAGCTATAAATCATGTCACATTTCCTGTTCATCTTAAAACAACAAAAGGGAAACACAGACATGTCTTTTTTTTTTTTTTTATTGATAAATATTACAGTCAGACATCAGACGGTATGTTGTAACTTCACTAATTATGTCAGCACCCAAAAGCATTGTGGCTATGGCAACCTGGTGAAATAATAAACACCGCCTCTTCTTCACTTTCTGCCTGCCGACAGTACCGCATGACATGAGTCATCAGCAGCCAGGAACACACACATTGAAACACACAGACAGCCCAAAAAAAAGGAAAAAATAAAAGAAAAACAGTCCCCATACAGGCAAGTCAGAGTAAAAAAATACTCTGAATGAAACGACAGGAAGCAATACACACTTAACAAAAAAAAAATAAAAAATCATAAGGAAATATTACAAGACCCAGCTGCTTCTGCTTGATCGCAGCCACAAACTGAGCTGATTTACAGAGCAGTAATGAGCATCAGCGTGGGTTGTTTGTGCACACAAAAGCAAGCCGCCAATCTCACCTGGATGCTATTAGCTGTTGTTTGATTTTTAATATTAACCACATGAGGTGACTGTTAGGCATGCTTTTGCACAAACCAGCACATGCACATTTACAAACACAAAGGCATGGAAACCCACCGCCCCAATTCAAAGCAGAGGCTCGGACGACCGGGAAAATCGTCAGCTCCACCTATTACCGTCAGCAGCTAATCTACATCACAGGCACGCATATACAGTGCTGCAAGCAGTAAACGCAACTTTTTCATCTGCTTTACCTTGAAAAAAAATATTCCCACCCCTAAATGTGTGTCTGATTTTGTCCCAATTAAGTGGAAATCTACACATTTTCACAAACTACAGCATACCTGTGAATTGGACAGAAAAGGATACATGACTTTTAAATTGCCTTCACTGATCAATATCTGAGAACTGTGGGATGCATTTGTGTTCAACCCCTTGAAAAAATAGATTATATGACTACTTTTTTACTGCTACTACAGTTCAACTTTATTTGGATTGCATATTTGCTCCTTTTTAATTGCCAAATTGCTTTTGCTCAGTCAGACTGAAAAGAGAGTGTCTGCAAACATCAATTCAAAAAAGTACGTCTTTTCCCGATATATTTTAGGTTGGATTTAGTTTTTGGCCATGCTTTGAAACAAACATTATTGCTCTGGTTGTATGCTAAAGGTTGTTATCCTCTGTCCCAGCTGTTAATGTTTTGCAGCCCAGTAAATGTTGTGCGAGGTTCACTCTGTATTTATCTCAGGCCATCTTCGCATCAGCTCTGATCTGCTACCCATCTCTACTGAAAAAAGGAGCATTTCCAGAGCATGATGCTTAAGCTACCATGTCTTACTATGCAGATATAATGTTCACCTAAAACTCAACAGTCCATATGAATATAGGGTGCTGTTGTTCCTCACATATTAAGTCTCATCTGACTGGAGCTTTTTCTCCAAATATATGCCTAGTCCCCTTGCCGCAAACAGCAAAAAAGAATCTAATAGCTTTCTTTCAACAATGGCTCTTTTCTCATCCCTTTACAAAGAATAGTTATCAACATATGATCCCACCTGAACTTTGACTCTTTGCAGCTCCTCCAGAGTAACCATGAGCCTCTCAGCTTCCTCTCTAATTAATACTCCACCTGCCTGGCCTTTAGGGATGTACTCATTCTTCTGCTCCAGTCCAGAGAATTGTTCAAGTAAGAAAATTCCCACTATCAGCTGGCCCGGTTTGTTTTCACACAGAGCTTCTTAGATCCGGTTAAACAATTTCATACACTTACATTGGATTGTTTTTGGGGCAGTAGTGCTACAGAATAGCCCTGATTTAAAAAAAAAAATGCATGAAGAAGAAAGTCTGTCTTGTAGGGTCTATTTTCTACTTTGGTGTACAAATGTAGTTGTGCGCCTGCATCTCTTACCTCCTAAGGAGCCCCAAAAGATATTTTCAAACTACTTTATCTTTGGATTGAGGCTCTGAAATTTGTTTTTCCTATTTTCCTCATCACTGCTTTAATATCACATCCCATCCTCCTTGTTACGTTACGCTGAGACAGGAACACATTCATTCAGCAAGCAAACCACTTAAGGATCCAGATCAGTTATATCGTTTTCAGGGTACTTTGGGATCCTTTTTGGGTATTGGATTGAGATGACACTAGGCATGATCCAATTCTTAAGCTGAACTCTGAAAAACCCTAAGCTCATCTGGCCTGGTGCCAGACTAAACAGGCTAAATATGGTCATACTTCCTATTTAGGAAAAAATATGGCCGATTTAATTTTTTTTTTCTCCTACATATACTATGAATTTTACAGAACTTTAAATGGGATCTTAGAATTCTTCATTTAGAATCTTATTTTTTCATATTGACACATCTGAGTGGCCACAAGATGAAAACATGTGCTTCTAGAATTAGTTTAGGACTGCCACTAGCAGTTAACTTTAATGTTAGACTGATTCCCAAAAGTTTGGTTTGATCGGCTGATTAAAGCAAGATGATTGCATATCTCTGCTGGAGTAACTGCATCAAACCCAGCTGACCTCTGCCTCATTTTTCTATCTCTTTGAACCGATCGCCTGTGAAGATCATTCATTTAATCCCCTCTGCTGTGATTTGTCCGATACGCCCTCTAATGGGTGGGAAATCTCTGAGTGACCATGGACAATGATTTTTTGAATATTTCCCATGACTGCAACATTTCCCCTCTCTATTATGTGTACCCTTTGTCTAATGCGATTCAAGCTTGCTAAGTGTTTAATGCTTTTGCCCTCTGGTGTCAACCCTTCACTTAGTAGCACCCCTCCTCAATTCTCTGCCTCATTTCAGCGGTATTTAGCCTTTTTAATGTACAGATCTCCGTGAAAGCATTAGCTCTGCTAACTATGGTGCTGTTACTCTACCCAAATCTAAAAAAACAATGCATCAAATTAGTTTAGTCTCAGTTTAAAATGGACACAAAGTGACTAAAGTGGTGCAGCAGCTGAGAAACAGCACAAACTCAAATCAGTTGAGGCAAGAATCATCTCTTAATGTCTTTCAACTGAGCTATCTGTGTGTCTGGAAGTAAAGTGTACGATGAGGAGATAACAGAAAAAGGAGCGCGTCCTGTGTGCTTTGGACCATCCTTTGGGCCGAAGCTGATGGCCCGTGCGGTTTAAGCTCAGACGGACGGACAGCTGCTATTAAACCCTGATTGTTTCAGGTTCACAGGGTGTGAAAGGGTCTGATTGAAGGGCTGTGATCCCAGTGAGGGTGGTCCTTCTCCCCCTTACCTCCCTCTCACTCTCTCACTCTGTAGAAGGTGGGAGAAGGACTGTGTAGGGAAAGGGGGTGGGTGGATTCAGGCGTCACATGACTTGCTTCTCGCTGCGCGGACTAAAATGGAATCTTGACAAAAACACACCACTTGTTGCTGCCTGCTTCTGGGTACACCTGTGTCACATGACCAGGGCCCAAGAAGAACATTGAAGGAGTGACTTTATATACACTTTTAACTTTTAAGAATGGTTTGCTCAAAGTTTTACTGAAGTGGAAATAAATACAGTAATAAAATTGCATGACGTGTGAGATGTGATCTCCAACAGGTCAGCAGCTTCCTGTATGGTTTATTTGTTTAAGGGCATTCCCATTAAGGAGGCTTTTTGGCTCAACACACTTGATAAAGACCAGAGAGGGTGAGGAAGCTCCCCTGCAGAGCTTTTCACATGTGGCCAAAGGACAAGTGCACTCTCGTCCATCGAAATCTCCCACATCTAAACCTTAAAAGGAGTCCTAGTGATTGGCTGGGATGGGAAAATGATCCGAAACTATCGCAACATGAAAACTTCAGTACTGCAAACAAATGCTCAACCACACGCAATGCAGCTAAATCATTTCATATCTTGCAAATCCGTTCAGGAGTCTTCCTTTATTGCAGTCTACAAAGGTATGTGTGAGTGGAGAAGATTCAGACTGTGTGTGCTCAGCACTTCTCACTGTCACTTCGGAAATAAATAAGTGTTTGGCCTCCCCATTGAGGCCAGTGTTGACGCTCTTCAGTGCAGGGCCACTAAAATGAGGAGCAGTGGCCTAATCTTCCCACATTAACAGCTACAGTCCACTCTTAGACAGATAATTAGATTAGAGCCCATCTCCTACCTCAGATTAGAGATGGATCATGAAAGGTTCAATTCATTAGAAGCACCTCAAGTGCACATATAAGAAAACCTGAAATGTATTCAAATTGTATGACTTGCAAAAAGACAATATATATAGTATAGCAGCAAAAAATGTATTGCAAATTTCAAGAAACAGTTGTTCTCTAGTGGCCCTAAAACTTTCCTGGGGCCCCAAAGGAAGCAGTTTTAGTGAATCAGGGATAAAAACAGATTATACTCTCATATTTAAACAAATATTTTATCTTTTAAACTACAAGCTGCCATGCAGTTCAACTGATTAAAACCACAAACCCCACAAAAACATAAAATGCAGTCAGTCAAAATAAACTTAAATGGGATATTGGAGCTTTGGGATAGGAAGCAATCACTGCAAAAGATTTCAATAAAACTTAAAAGACACAACTTAAAGTTTTATCTGATTGCAACAGATTCAGCAAAGAGTTTTAGGCTGCGCAAAAAACAAGTAATTCATTGAATGATCGGCAGCGATTTAAAAGGAAGACAGTAAATCAGATCTTCTTACCTTAGAGGAGAAATATTAAGCATGAAACTCCCTGATTGGATTCCTTGGAATCGCTCAAAGGATCTAAGGACTGAAAGTTTCCGTCTCTCTCTCTCTCTCTCTCTCTCTTCTTTCTTTCTCTTAACTTTTCAAGCAGGGAGTCGGATGGAGATGAGGGAATTCTTCAGAGAAACCGACACATTGTTCCACCTTCAGCAGGGATCTCTCACACATTTTAATTCTTAAGTGTCTTTAGGCAGGCGGTGGTCAAACTGCAGCCCATGTTCGCCTCTGGAGTCCCGCAAAGCGCCTTGGATTTGGCTGCACAGTCAATGCGGGAACGCGCACCCCCTTCTCCCCCCTCCTTCCCTATCCTCCCTCCCTTTCTCCACAGCCTGCGGACCACCCCGAAACAGGAAGTTCACTTTTTGTTTTTCTTAAAAAAAAAAAAGAAAAAGAAAAAAAGAACCAAACCGCCTCGGTTTTATCCTCAAACTTAACATGCAGCCCAGAAACAACCAAACTGAAGCCCGGTTAGTTTTCCTCTCTGTTCTCTCAGTAAATAAACGCAAATTCCTTTAAAGTCATATAATCAGCTATATAAAGGCATTACAGCCTCCAAGTGTTTATCAAATGCTTGCAAGGACACGGCTGCTCTATATAAAGTAGGTTCTTATCTAGTAATTGTGAAAACCCTGTCTATAAATGTTTGTGTTTACTTTAACAGTGGAAGTTCATAGCAGCCCATCGGGCAGCGTGTGTGGCTGCTGGCTGCGGGGATGATGATGATGATGCTGCTGCCGCACATTGCTGCGCCTCAACCAGGCAGACCCTCCGCAAAACCTGGACTGGAATCCAGTCCGCAGCCCCGGAGCTGGAGCCGGACAGGCGCAACCACAAAACTCTGATAAGATAGTTGTTTTCATCAAAATAAAGCGCAGTTCCAGGGGCGGAGATAGATGGAGGGGCCAGGAAACTTTGAAGTAAAATTATTATTCAATTAGGTTTAATTAAAATTATATGTCTTATTAGGTCAATATGCATTCATATCATTTGCCACCCCTACCATTTCTCCCCCCAAATAATCAAGTGGAATATTCAAAACATTTTAATTTTTCATAAATTTATGTATTTAGTTATTTTTTTACATACTTTAATAATCCCAGAGGGAAATTAATTCTCTGCAATTAACCAATCCCCTTGGGGAGCAGTGGCAGGGTTTCTGCAGTCATTAAAAATCATTAAAAGTCATTAAATTATAATTTTTTTTTAAATTAAGGCCTTAATTGGAATTAAAATTCATTAAATTTGATAATCGTGGCATCTGTCGGAGTGGGGGATCGAACTCACAACCTCAGGATTCAAAGCCCTATGCCCTACTATCATGATTACTTGATAACAACGACACTGTGGTTTATTATGTGATCAATATACTAACATTAAAGATGATAAGTACAGAATTCCTGCTGTTTTCAGACCTAGATTTTGAGTTTTATGGGGTAAAGAGAAAATTGTGTGTCTGCATTCATCTAGGAGTCTTTAGTGAAATCATAGATAAATAACTATTTTAATAAAAACGTATTAAATAATCAATTTATGTAGATAATAGTACTTGTAAATATCAATTTAATGCAGAATAATATTGATAAAAGTAGGTAAGTAATGACAATGGAAACGATTTTCGCCCCAGAACTCAAACCTGAAAGAATTTTATCCACCTGGATGTTTAAATATATTTGTCTATTTGTTAGCAAAGGCTGCAGGAAAGTATACTTTGTCTTTATTTAGAAGATATGGATGTTTTGCTTGTTAATTTTCCTGTTGGAACAGTGTAGATTGCCCCTGAGGTTCTGCTGCCAATCCATTTTCGTCCACCCCTCAGTGGTCGCAGTTTATTGCCTGGCCACCCTTATAAAATTTTCTGTTTACGCCTCTGTGCAGTTCTAAGAATATTATGGAAGAGGATTAGGGCCACTGAAAAAAAAGAAAAATAGTTAAATTATTTTTAAATTTCATTTCAGTTTAATATGGGAAAAAGGTCAGAATTCTGACTTTAATCTCAGAATTCTGACCAGTGGCGGTTCTAAACGAAATGTACCAGGGGGCCAGGAGGGGGCCAGCATGTTTTCATGGGGGCACAGAAAAGCATGAAATAAAAAACAGGTTAAGTGATTCAAATATATTAAGATAGCTGCATGAAGTGAAATTTCTATTCAATTAGGTTTAATTAAAATTATATGTCTTATTAGGTCAATATGTATTCATAATTTTATAATAATTTGTAATAATTTTACATATTTTTTGACTTAATTTAAACATTAGAATTATGTTTTGTATAAAATCTGAATTAGAACTCAAGAAAAAATGTTAAATTCAGCTGTAAAAATTTTAGTATTTTATTTCTTTTGGAAATAAAATTTAACAGATGAAAACTAGGATCCTATCTCAATACCACTGAAGCTATCACCTTATTGCTTTTTAATTATTAGTAAAACAGAATTTTTAAAGAAAAAACATGAAACAGATTCAAAGGACCTGTCAGTAACCATGTCTGTTCCAGTGTATATCATCATTAGAATTTCTTTAAGTATTATGTCTTCAGTACAAGGGCCGTAACAGGAGCCAGGACATGATCTACAGGGACACTGGCTCCTGTCTAGAACCACCCATGATTCTGACTTTTTTTCTCAAAAAGTCAGAATTCTGAGATTAAAGTCTGAATCCTGAGATTAAAGTCAGAATTCTGAGAAAAAAGTCAGAATTATGAGATTAAATTTAGAATTCTGAGATTAAATTCAGAATTGTTATACTAAAATAAAATTAAAAAATCAGTTAACTTTTCTTTTTTTTTTTTCCAGTGGCCCTAATCCTCTTCCGTAGAATATCGACCAAAAACCAACAACTTTATTATTTCAGGAAATGTTGGCTTCTTCCCATCCATATTTTATAAAGACATCATCTCGAAAAGAGAAACAAGTAATTAAGCATTTTAGATAAAGATGTAGAAGAATTTAAATTAAAGAAAAAAAAAACAGTTTGCAATTTTGTATACGACTGTAAAACATTGCATCCTCTAAAAATACTTATTTGTCTCTTTTTTAATTTAGAAAAGAGAAAAATAAAAATGTTTTATTCAAGAAATTAGTTTTATGACAAAAAAAAAGATTTTTTTCATTCTCTGTATTGAACTTTGCTATTACCTTATCCTATTGAATTGTGCAGTTATGTATGAAGAGCATGTAATCAAACATATAGACTATTTATTGATTTATCTGATTTTCCATTTGACAATCATTGACTTTTTAGATTAATTGAAAGTGGACAAAAATAGCCACACAGCACTTATATATACACACATTTTAATATTGTAAAATGTAAACATACATATACTTAAATACTTTGCACATCAATAATAATATATTTTATATAGTGTTTGCGTATTTTAATTAAAAAAAAAAAGGTTTGTGGATATTGAAATCTCTTAAAAGTAGGAGGAGAAAAGTGGCACAAAAGCCTTTTGGGATAGTGAAAAAGAAATAAATAAATGAAAAACATAGGGAGGTTGTACTAGATCAGTTTAGGAAAGGTGCATGAATAACTCATGCTTTATACGCATGTTGTGGTACACTTCCTGTAGCCTATATTTGCTGTCTTTGTTGCATAAACACCCATGGAATACTAATGTTTTTAACAGAGTTGGTTGTTTTACATATTTGCAAAAATGTATCATCTATTTGAACAAAATAAAAATGCTGAGTATGCAAAGTGTTTTTCATTCAGAATCCAAACTCATCGCTACAGAACCAACAATGAGTGTTAACTGCATATTAGTGAATAACTACATTCATGAAGAGGTTTAGTTTTCAAAGCAGCCGGGAAAGCTGAGTCAAAGCCTGAACAGTTGGTGACCTGAGCCAAGGCTAGAGTCCATTCACAGCATACGGCCAGTGGTTAAATCAGATTTTGTCAATGAGAGTCGTGGTGGGCTTTGAGCCCGATATAGCTGCAGCAGCCAAGCAGGGAAGCCTTGGCTGTAAACCCTCACAGATGCTGCAGCCATATGTTTCATCCAACAGCGGGAAGAATCTCACACCAACTTCCCTTCAGATTATCGATGGGCGGGCTTATCGCCAAATTCTGAAGAGTGCCATAATGGCTAGAGCTTTTTTCAGCTGATCTTTAAGGAATATTCTAATCAAATTTTATTTTTGTTCATGTAGTTGATTTGGAAGAGATTGATTTCAGTCCAAAGTTGTTTTGATGACAGAAGCTGCCGCATTTTTCTGTTAATCTAAGGGTATTTTCAAAACAGTCCATAGAGACAGGTATTCAAGCTTTTGCCATATACCACACTGTTAAACATAGAGAAGATTCAGTATCATGTAATATTTTTTTCTACTATAATGAAGCTCAATCTTTTCCCATCAGCAATTAACTGAATGATCCCCTAAAAAGTCAAACACAGGCTTGGTAGGGCGTGCAAATCTCCCAATTAGTGTTATAATCAGCAGTGTGTGACTCAGGCACACATAAACTGTTTTCTTAATGAAGCAAGGGGAGAAAAGGTGAATGGGACAGAAATAAAAAGTTGCAGATGTCCACTTCTAAAAGCCGGTAGAGGGCTTAAAGTAACATACAGATTAACAGCAAGGTAAGCCAAAGCAAAAGCTTTCAGTCATGCCGTCGAGGTCAAGAAAGGACTGAAAGCTACAGGCAGGATGCTGTCTTACCTTTTGTAGCTGCTTATGCCTAAAATATGTTTTATGGTGTGTTATCCAATGATTATACAGTCTATTTATTCACAAAAACGTCTTCAAGTCTTGACATGCCAACAGGTTTATTATAACAGCATATCCACACCTTACAACTAAAGGAACTTTTCAAACATTTCATATCCACTAAAATGACAAAAGGTAAAACACACACAAGGTGATAAATCCAAAGCCATGAAAATCTACAGAGGATCATGCATGTAAGGCAAGTGTGAGTGGAAGAGAAAGCAGCTGTCATCAAGGCTCAGGGCATCTGGACACCATTCCCTGATGCAGTGAAATCCAGCAAATCTTTTACAGGATTTGTTTTTCCATTGCAGATGGTCCCTTAGCATGTTTTCCTCCCATTGGCTCGGGGTCCCTTGCTGGCAGTGCTGCAGCTTTGCAGGTACCACATTTAAGGGTGTTCTCTGTCTGCTGCAAGTCTCTGCAAACTGACAGGAGGGACCTGGAGTTAAAGATCACATGAGCAGCGTTGGATAACAAAGTTTTATCACAGTAAGGTGCAAAGGTAAGTGCTGCATAGAGACTTTATTTTG